TTTTCCATCAATACTTCTTCTTTACAATGGATGTAGTATATTGTCGCGAAGCTGTTTTCATGCTCTATCTAACGGTGCTTGAAGCGGGCTCTCACCCTCATCTCTTATAAAGTTACTGAGCTTCAAATAATCGCATCCAAATCCAGAATTTCATTGCATTCACTTTTCCGGCCAAAATTCAAGCGCGTATCAATGGGATTTCTTCAAAAATTTAGCTGTTGTATGTAATAGAAATTTTCTACAATATGCATACTTAATTGCATTCTTTGAAGTTATCCAGACTGAGATATCGGCGCCTAAACATGGATAGCTGTTGCGGTTATTTTATGACCCAATTTTCTTCTGAGGAAGTCAGTCGCCGAAGCTTTGCTCAATCCTGTAAGCGTAAGACTAGGGCATCCTATTAGCAGTTTTTCCGAAAACATTCAGCTGTTTAGTACGCAGAAAATCAGAAAATTCTATATTCTGGACTTTGAGGCACACTGAAAAAATGTTGAAAAAACAGAAATTTCAAATTTTAATTTTTTCTTTCTGGCAAACTTTTTTGTCCGAATTCTTTTTATTATATTTTGTACTACCGGCTTGCGGTCAAGATAGGCCACTTGTTATTCATACTTAGAAACTCTGAAGGAAGTTATGGATTGTCAAAAACAAGGTACCCGCAGAAGAACCTTTTTTGTCTTTTAGTCCGCATTTCTCTTCCCGTTTATGGTTTGAGTGTAAATAAGTATGCGCTGTGTTGCGAAAGGCTTGCTGCTTCTGGGGGTCTTTACCGCATTCAGAAATGTGGATCTTTTAGAAAGTTATAGCACACAAAGTGAGAATTCTCAAATCGGCCATTCCTTTTGCATCAACCTAATATTTTCGTCAATTTCTTAGTGTATAGCCTGCTGCATGACGAAGGCGCAATATCTTTGGGCGCGAACGCGGTCTTATTAGCCGCGGAGCGCAGGAAGCGCAGGATTTACAACGGTGAGGATACGCGCGCGCCGCGTTCGCGCCCGCTCAACTAGAACAGCTATTGCGCCTTCGTCATGCAGTAGCCTTTATACAGGGTGCGTCAAAAGTCTGGGAGCCTAGTACTTTTTCGTATAAAATGAGATGGGAAGCATCTAGAAACGAAAAATTTGACGCACACATAATTCGAACCATTGCAGATACAGTCCAGTTCTTGAGTTGCAAAACTGCCTCATTTGGCTTCCACGCGGCCTTACAAAATCTTGACAAGTCCACCTGTCACGGCACGCAGGTAGTCGAATGAAATTTGCCCCACACCTTCACAATAACTGCTTCTTTTACATTGGTAAACGTGCAGCACGACAGAGCAAGCTTTTATCTACAACATACTTCCAAAAGAATTTTTTGCATTGTTAGGAATAAAAATATTGGTAAAATAATATAATAAAATAATATAATAAAATAATATAAAATAATATAAATAATAATATAATATAATAATATAATATAATAATATAAAATAATATAATATTTCAATCAGAAGCATGTGTACGTCGCATACCAGAATTTTGGCTACAATTGCGCGAAAAAAACTTAAAATTATCGTTTAAAAAGTATAAAAAGTGTTCCCATTGCCGAATTCCAATAGATTCTAATTTAAAAGATGTGTGCAAAAAATATGGCCATGGTCCCAGTGCCTCTTGCGCTTCTATAGCTTTTAAATTTGTTCTGAATACGGATTTTCACTGGCACGTAGGTAACATTCGCAAACTTTCATTTTCCGTTTATGCAAGAAGAGCTCCTGGCAAAGCAAAACTACGACCCAATAGCGCAAAGCCTCTTCTACATTGTGTGCATCGAAGTGTCGTAGAATATCAACAGCATTTCTCGCTATAGAATTGTAAATACTATAAATTCTGGTTCTCTCGCTTTGCAAAAGTACTAGTTTGGTAATTCCCAATCTTACAAAAACATATGGCAGCCATTTCCAGCTAGATAAAGTGTATTTGCTAGACAAAGTGTATTTTGTAGAGGATGACCGCAGCATCACGTGGCTTTAAATTGAAATCAAAACCACCAGTACCTTTGTAGTTGCAATACTGCAAAATTAGGCTCCCAGACTTTTGACGCGCCCTGTATATGTAGTCTCGAAAAATAAGATCAGGCGCACAGTAAGTAGAAGATCTCCGCATTAGCAATCCATCCACCACTTTGTCTCTACATAGTAGTGTAGCTGTTACCGTTGTTGTAACCAAAGTTTCCAGCAGGCATTCTTGCATCAACTGCAAAGGAATCAAGGTTATTTTTAAGACATTTAAAGATGATTGGCACCCAGATTTGTGTGAAGGCGGGATGCAGATTTTTCCTGATTATAAGGATGAAGTTTATGAGAGAGTACGAAAAAATGCTGTAACGTAGAGAGGTTTGACAAGTTTATCCTTATAATCAGAAAAAGTCCGCAATCCGCCTCCATACGAATCTGGAAGCCGATGATGTATGCAAAGAGTTGCTATCAAACACTTGGACAGTGTTTTCTCAGTGATCAGATCGCGGAGGAAATCAAAACAGCTGGCTAAAGGGGCAGTGAGGTATGGGAATGAACAGCAGGGGGTGTACGACATCTTGTTAACGGGGAGCTGCGACAGGAGACAGGCTGTGGTCACCATAAGAGGAATTCGTGCCGGACTTCTATCCATCCTTCAAAATGTTTCCTGTACTTTTTACTAGTTTTTACAGAAATTGAGCCATATATGATTAATTTCGGCAAAGCGTCATAATCAAGCGCCGGACTTCGTGGAGAAGAGAGCAGCCCACCTTTTAGACCTGTATGCACGAAAACCCCTGTGGCGAGAAGAGTTCCCAATTATAAAAAAGCAGCAGCGAAGTTTGAGCGCCTCTTCATGACGGGAAACGCCGCTCTCCTCGCCTCAGGAACTTTCATGCATACGGGCCTTAGCTGTAGAATAACTAGAGGTAGAAACTACCTGTTTTTTAAATGAAACGTAGGTATTTGGGTATTGACTGAGAAAAAGGACGGAATGAGAACAGTATTCCTCTAGCCCGCCTCAATTCTAAAAACATTCATACGGTAAGACAGCAGCGAACAATGAATGACGAATGACAATTGTCATCGGGGCGATTACTGAGGAGAGTCCAGTCTCCGGAAGCTGAGAAAGTTGTCAGCGGTTACAGAGAAGCTGAGGACATGGATCAGGTGTTCGTAGATTGATTGCGAGAAGCTACAATTCGAATGCAAAACTGTAGCGGCTGGTCAGCCCCTTGCATCTATTTTAGACAATGATAATTTCCTGATATGATTCTTGATTAAGCAACATAAAAATGCTTTGGCAATGTCGCTTTAATTGATGTTGAAGGTTGTTCCTCAGGGCTTGTGTCATAAGTGTTTATTTGTACTGACTATACGAACATCTAGGAAGTTGTTACATCATCTATTATACATTTATTACAGAGTGGAAAGTTCGCAAACTGGTAGCAGAGCTGGCTGTCCATCGCTGCATACTTATTGCCTGGGAAGCCATTCTAGAGTGTTTGGAATCCATTCACCACTTTGTCTCTGATTAGTAGTGTAGCTGTTACCGTTGTTGTAATCAAAGTTT